AAATAGCGATTTTTTAAAAAATCATCTGTGGCTCATAATTTTGCTTATGAAACCACTCTTTGTACTCTAACAAAAAAAATCCTTTGCAAAATTTTACTATAAAACTTCCTTTCTCGCCTACACACTATTCTAACCTCACCCTAACCCTAACTAACAAAAAAACAGGTTATTTTGGCTGTTTTGATTTCACATTACACCAAATCATATAAGGTGCGCTACAGCGCACATGTGCAAAAATATTAAATTCTAATTTAATTAGTAATTCGTGAGAGATGGAAAGAGTTACAATAGTAATACTATATATAAATTAAGGGATATTAAACATAATAAAAAACAATTAATACCTGTAATCTGGAGCCGGAATTGAAATTTCTTAATTTCTGTCAAGTTAATATCTTTTTATTTCTTACAAAACTTGTAGAGGTGAGTTTTCTCTTTCTAATGGTAGTAAAATCATTAAAATTGGCCTGATGATTCATAAGATATTCTTATTTTTGTCTTTGTGGTTATATAAAATTTCTTTGCAGATTTGTAAAGAAAATTTCATATAACCATAAAGACAAATAAAAATATCTCATGAACTATCAGGCCAATTTTGATGATTTTACTACTATTAGAAAGAGAAAAATCACCTCTACAAGTTTTGTTAAAAATACAAAAGATGTTAACAGGAATTGATGATTTCAATTCCGGCTCCAGATTATGGGTATTAATTGTTTTTACTATTAAATTGACACATTTTTATATATAGAAATTCTTTCCATTTCTCATGAATCACGAATTAAAATAATATTTATTAGATTTAATATTATTGTCCGGAGTGAAGCAAAGGACCTTTAGTTTCTCTGAATCATGATGCAAAAGTTACTTTCTTGATGCATCACATATTAAAATATCAAAAACATAACTTTGCATTTTCCATTTGTCCACTTATAAACTATTTTTAATTGGTCATATATACCAATTTATGGAATTGATAATAACTTTTGATCCACTGGTCCGTTTTGGATGATTTAACTACCAAAATGTTCGTCTCAATGAAATGATTCTAACTAGCTCAAAATCGTTAAAATGCAATTACAGGAACCCAAGATCGTTTAACTTTTGTAAATTTATTTAATATCGAATAGTCCTGATTCACTAGCCTGTTTTGAATGATTTAACTACCAAAATGTTCACCTCAGTAAGACGATTCTAACAAGCCCAAAATCATTAAATTCTAATTACAGGATCCCAAGATCAATAAAGATTTGTATTGTTAGACAATTATTAGTTTAAAACCAATTTTGATTAAATAATTGTCAAATTTTTATCAATCTTGGGATCCTGTAATTGGAATTTAACAATTTTGGGCTTGTTAGAATTGTCTCACTAAGACAAACATTTTGGTATTTAAATTATTCAAACAGGCTAGTGGATCAAAAGTTATTCAATCTTAAAGAACTTTACTTAGTAATTTTAAAAATTACTATTAAAATTACACAAAAGTTGAATGATCTTGGAATCCTGTAATTAAATTTTAATAATTTTGGTTTTGTTAGAATTGTCTCATTGAGATGAGCATTTTGGTAGTTAAATAATTCAAAATGGACTATGGTTCAAAAATTATTATCATATATACTATATAGTAAGAAATAACAAACTTATTTAATTATTTTATTTATATAAATAATTAGCTCTGGACAAACAATGCTATGCATTTACCTAGTTAATTACAGATAAGCTTTTAATTTATTGTATAAAATATGATGTATCAGAAGTGATGGTATGACCTATATATATGTATATTAACCTAGTTCTGCATAACACTTCTTTAACTTCTTTAGGATAACGTATCTGTTAGTTTGTAGTTCTTTCTATATAAGTACTTTATGAATTATCAAATAACATCATGATGCTTAATTGTATGACGTTCAACAAAAATTAATTTTATAATAGATACGAAGAAGCGCTTTATTAAAGACAAACAGTTAAAAAACCAATTAAATTTTCAAACATGTAAACGATAAAATAAAGCCATCTTTTACAAATTTATCATAATCATTCGGTTTATGTTTCTATTGTTGTTTTGGTTTACCAACTTTCAAAAACGCACCGCCACCAAAGTATCTATCATTTGCATCCTTAACTTTCTTTTGTGATTCGTCAGGATTGATTAATTCAATTCCTTGCACAGGAGTAAGAGTCAACGACGACGATAAACCGGAAGTTGAGCCAGATGATCCCATATGTTGGTATCGTTTGGGTGCCTTTGCTTCAGGTAATAATTAATCGTATAAATAAATATGAACGTTACAAGAGATGAATTTATTTAAACAAAATGTGAATTATGTTATAACGAAATAAGAATGTAATCAAACCTTTAACTCTAGGATCGGACACAGCAGCGCGGATTTTGCCAGAGTTTTGTCCAATCAAGCCTAAACCCTTGGTTGTATCAAAAGAACCAGTTTCATCTTCAGCGACACCGAATGCCATCCTATTTTGAGCTTTACGAAGTTCCGTAACTGCGTGCGCTTCTTTCATTCGACGTACTCTAAAGGTGAGTATCAAATCAATTAGATATTGATATTTGCACATAGGCATAAACAATAGTTAGCAGAGTAATTGGGATAATAAAAATACTTTTTCCCGGCTCTCCGTTTCTTTGGTCCTTCGTCAGGAACTGGCAAAGGTTTGACCGTCTTAGATGGAGGTGGTTCCTGCAACTTTTCGAGCTTTTTGTCAATCTGTTCCCGTAAAGATCTACCAAATGAGCCTTATTATAGATAAATGAAATGATTAGTGTAATAAAGATCAAGAGTTCATCGTCAAATATTCAAGAAATTCTACAATACCATCAGGTGATTCATGCACACGATCCATCCTAGCGGCCAATGTACACCTAGGCCAAGGCAATTCCGAAATAAATAAATGCGATAAAAAGACGTAATTTTGATGGAAATAAAATTGATCATACTTAGCGGCAACAATCTTCTGTGCTTTCAATCTGAGATCTGGTGGCGTTCTCTGTATCAATTCGGATTGAAATAAGTATCCGGTGTGTCTTGGTGTTGTCGCATTTGAAAAGCCCGTGCTTGTCTTTTTCTGGACACCGATTAACTAAAATACATCGAATACATCGAAATATGTATTTTTACCAATTGGTTTATGTTTTAAATTTGGATTATAGTATAATTTAAGCTTTGTACCATAACGTTGCATGCAGGCATTTTACAGAGAGCCATCAAACCACCGGCTTGTCCTAGCATTTTGGCAGCAGTGGTACTGCCCACTATGGCCGAGAGATTTGGCGCAATTAAGGTCATTCTTGATTCAACATATTCCAATATCTGTTTTATAGAAAACAAAAAATTTAAACTATGGAATTATGCAAATTAAATCTGATCAATATCTACTAACTAACCGTACGCTTGGCACAATCCAATTCCAATGCCATATCACATGCATCGCTCACAATCTTACTTTCTTCTATTGTCAATGGTAGGCCGTTTGTTGTAGAACCAGTAACTGTTACCACCATCACGGTCGCAGATGGAAGTATCGATCTAAGATCGACTTTGGTCAAATCCTAAAATGATGGAAAATGATCCGATGGAATTGACGGTCCACACGGTGAGGTTGGTGTCTATTGAAAAAATAAATACCATAATTTCTTGACACTTTAAATAATCTATATTACAAAATATTGAATGAAAAAGTACTAACCATTTCGTTACCAATTGCTTTCACGGCACGAGCATAGTCCAGTGGGTTAAGTACCAATGACTCTAGCTCAGGAAACTTTTTTGCATAATGATCCCTTATAAACTTCAAAAAAATTAATTATTAGAAAATTATCAGGATGTATTATTGAATAAATAATATTTCACCTTGTGAACAATTAAAATTTCACTGTCAATATCTACAGTTAAATTGTTTGCCTGCACGATAAGTTTATACTCTGGGTCTTCTTCAACAGGACCCATTATTTGGACATGAATTCGGTTTGTATTTTTCAGCTGCCCTATTTTCTAAATGATTTAAAAGTAACGGTGGTCGAACTAAGCTTATGCGACACTTAATAGTAACGGTATAATCAAACTACGACTAAAACTAACCGTCAGAACATCCTTCATTTGTCTAGAGCCAAGCAATTTAGCAATTTTTCTCACATCCATTACATTTTTCATTTCGATTTCTGAACTGATTTGCTTTTCCTCTTCAAAATCAGCCATTTCATCATCTTCTACCTCTTCCAAATCTCGCATTGTAACATCTTCCGATCCATCGTTATCAATATCGTCAGCTTCTTCGTCACGAGTAGTTATGAAATCTGGATCTGCGAGTAGCTCATCGGCTAGCGACATGTTGGAAATAAAACAAAGATCTCCAGTGCTGCAGTGAATTTTTTCGTATAAATTGTTTGGATTCGATTATCATCACTTTATTCCGATTTATTCCGAATTATTGATAACAGTTTTACCGGGTATCAATTTTCGTAAAATTTCTATGTCGCTCGAGTTTCATGAAAACACATTGTGTGTACAACAAACTTCCTAAAAAATCACGAAGCTTTGTCGAAGGAAATTTTTGTGCAATATCAAACTACAACTCGTTTTGAAACTTTTTCCATTTAAAATTTTAACTTTTATCAAAACTATGAAATCCGTTTTATTGAAACAATGATTAATATATTATATATAACATATATTTTTAATTAACCTTTTGCCAGCAATATAAAATAAAGGAATTGAAATTTATAAGGTAACTATCATTACTTATATCAATTTTATATCAAAAAAGAAATAACGTACAATTCAGAAGTGATTTTTGTAGAAAAATAATTGATATTTTATCAAAATTGAATTATTTTTGATATTTTTTATTCGTATTCGACTTAAAAAATTATCTTTATTACGTATTATTTATATATTTATATATAATTATAAAAATATTTAACTAAATGTTTCTCTTAATTTATTTTTATTCTGCTTAGATTATTAATAAAAAATCTCAATAGCCGACGGGCGGGATTGAACCACCGACCTTCAGTTTACAAGACTGACGCTCTACCACTAAGCTACGCCGGCTTTGACGGTTAAATTATAGGACTTCTTAATTAATTTACTGCTTTTTATACGCATTATGATACATGCAGCAGACAAAATCAGAATAAGAATCAATACTTAAAAAACTATATATATCTGATATATTATAGATACTTTATAATATATATGCATTTTGTATTTTATTATATTTGCAAAAAAAAATACAATTTTTAGCTTTAACCTTTAGAAAAAAAATTAAAATATAATTAACAACTATTGTATTAGTTTTAATACAGTAAGTATACTTTTATTTAGCAATAAATTTTGTATTTTTTTAAAAAAAAATATGAAGATGAGTTAGTTAAAAAAAACAAATAATTTTTAATAAAATTTTTTTAATTTTTAAATTAAAATATTTTAGCAACTATTTGCTAAAAATTTTTTTGGAATATATAGAATTAAAATAAAAAAAAAAGTTTATTAAATTTATTAAAATAGTTGTTAAGATATTTAATAAGCTTAAAGTTAAGAAAACTTTACTTAAAAAAAAATTTGTTCTTTTTTTACTAACTCATCTCTATATATTTTAATTTAGAATTATATTACCAATTTTTATATATTATTATACAGTATCAAGTTATTCTTTTAGGACATTTCTATATATCTTTAGCTAGAGATGTTCAGTTTATATATTCCAACTTAAAATTATACCTAATTATATAATTTTGATTAAAGTTAAATTATATAGAGTTAAAAAAAAGATTATAAGTAAAATTTCTTTCTTAATATTTTTAATTAGCATTTTAAATTAGATTTAAATAGCCATTTTTTTGTATTTTTTTACTTTTTTGTTTTGTTTGTTGTTTTTGTTTTGCCAAACTAATTTAAGAAGAATATTTTTTATATTGCTTATAGTACTTTTGTACTATACAAAAATAAATTATTAAATATAAATTTTTATTTTTGTATTTTGGTAAAGCAAAAATATAAATACAATTAACAAAAAATTTTTTTTATATAATAAACAAAAAAATAGCTTTTATATATGTTTTTTTATATTAATAAATCAATTAAACATAGTCAGATCTCTCTAAATGCATAGCAAATGGCTGATAAAAACCTTACATTTAGAGAGGTAAAAATTTATAAGTAACATATAAGTTAGGACAGTGTTGGGACCAAGTTAAGCTATGCATTTAGAGAGGTTGCATACTGTATATAAAATCTAACTTTATAATTACACTATTTGTTTATTTTCTAATACTACAGTAATAATTTGCTAAATCTATAAAAAATATGTTTTTTTTTAATTTAATAGATTATTTTTCTTGGGTCTAATAAAATGCACCTATGGCATTTTACACTATGTTATACAAAATTATTAAAATAGCCAATCAAATCAGGTGTAATATAAAATTTCAGTTTTTTTGTTTATTTTTTAAAAAAAATCTATATCTTAAAAATTTGCTTATAAAACCACCTTTGGGGGTCTAATAAAACAAATTTATTGCTAAATTTTGTATATGCTAATGCCCTAATAAAATCCTAGACCTTACTCTAACCCTAAAGTAATGAAATTTTATTTTTTTTCTTTAAAAACCTGAATACATTTATCATTTTTTTTTTTTTTTTTTTAAAGTGTCCGCCTTGGGACTGAGGAATTTTTTATTCAGGTATTTGGATCAGTGTCCCACTAAGGGCCACCTGCATTTGTTATATTGACGAGGATACAACTAGCCATACGTTCAACTTTTGGTCGTCTAATTTAAGTAGTCTGCCCGAAGGTTACCCCGCGGGTTCCACACTAGCTGCCATACCTGCAACCCGACTAGGGGATTGCCTATTTAAACCCTCTGATCCCTGCTCCTTCTGCCAACCCAACCTGTATCACCAAAACAGGCTGTTACATAAACAGTTAGTCAGCCAGTTCCGGATGCTTATCCGTCATCCTTAGGACCCATTTTGATTCTGCCTAATTTTTTTTAATATAAAATAAACTAATATTTATATTTAGCTAAATTAAAAATGATCAAAAATAAAATTTTTATTTACAAAATATAAATAACTAATAAAGTAAAGGGAGTGCTATTTATCAGCTAATTAGAGTTTCATTAAGTAGCTGGCCCTCTACCCTCTATCTGATAATTTTTTTAAGCATTTAATTGGTTAAAAGTTAATAATATATATATTAAATATTGGATAACTGATGATTCTAATAAGTTCAAAATTATCAAAATCTAATTACAGGATCCCAAAATCATTCAACTTTTTGTATAATTTTAATTGTAATTTTTAAATTACTAAATAATTTTTTTAATAAAATAACTTTTGTTCACCAGTTCATTTTGGATGATTTAACTATCAAAATGTTCATCTTAGTGAGACAATTTTAATTACTCCAAAATCATTAAATTCTAATTACAGGATCCCAAGATTGACAAAAATTTGTATCATATACAATTATATTTATATCAGCAAATTTTATAAATAGATATATATTGATTACTAACTAGATAAAATATATGGGGCCTTTGCAGTAGAAAGAGCTGATACTGGTTTATATATAATTTTGAGAAAATCATATTTGTTTTGTTCAGACTAATTCGGGTTAATTAAAATTTTCGTAATTTGATTAATCCATTATATCAGATAATTCCGTGATATATGTAACTCCAAGAAATTTTTTTTAAATATTTCATTTTTTTATTATACAAATCAATTTCTACTTATAATTAAAAAATGTAGTACAGTCTGACGATTTTCCAAATTAGGACAATGCAGATCACTCTTTTTATGGTATAGAAATGATGATCGGAAAATTCCAGACTCTCTAAGATAGCTTTTTTGTTATTGGTTAATTTTTATGTCTAGAATACTTTTACATATTACAGTATTACTGCATAAATTTTTTTAACCGTTGTTCGTAATTTACAGATCTTCGCAACGAACAACGAAACTTTAAGTATTTTGGGTATTTCAGAGATTCGCTTTACCCAGGTATACTTATTTAGTGAAAGTTTTTTAAGTTAAAAAAGTTCCTTAATTATAGAATTAACATACAGAAAACGTAGCTAACCGGTTGGAAAATCTTGAAGTAATTGTAATTTCATAATAATATTAAGTCAAAATAGATTAAAGATCATGAACATTTGAAGCTTGACTTAGACTTGAAGAAACATTCGGTAAGTAGCCTACATTCGGGATCTTGAAATTTGTAGGTCGAGATGAGGTTTTTAGTGTTTTAAGGGCTATAAGAATGTAATAAAGCTTATGATTATTATTATTATTTTTAAATATATAGGCTTTACTTCATTTACTCGAGGTTCATATTTCAGTACTTAGGGCAGCTTATCGTGTATTATGGGTGATTATGGCTCCATCGTTTGATAAAAAAAACTATGATCGTATTTAGCGATAGATATCAGTATATAATAATTTTATTGGATTGTATTAAATTATTTTAATAATTTATAACTTATAAATTGTGGTGTATTATATTTATTTTAATTAAAAAAATAAATAATAAAATTACAATTTAAGAATGATAATTTGATCAATTTAAGAATAATAAAAAATACATGACTAATTACAGAATTATGAAGTTCACCCCTTCGATTTCAATTCATAAATTACTTAAAGCACAAGTAAATTGCAAAAATGTTACAAATCTTGCCGTATTACTTCAAACGAGCACGATCTTTATTTTATTCATTCTATTCTGTAATATCACAATCTTGGTTAACTTCATTATTTGCAGTAAATAAATGCTTTACCTCTTGCAAAATAATCAACAATTCTGCTTTGCTTTTCGACCTTAATCCGGAATATTTTTTTCGAGAATCTTCACCAAGTAGTTCAAGAAGCGTTTCGATCTTTGATAAAATTTGAGGAACAGTCATGTTTTCGTCACGTTCCTGTGCTTTAGCTTCTTGATTCGTAATAGGTATTTGCCTAAATGAAGATAAATTACTTTTGTTAATAAATGCTTCAATAATGAAATTCTTTCGTGCTTCTTTTGCCAAAGATGTAATATTTTCAAGATCTTTATTCAAATCATATTCTTCTAGATCTTGATTTACAAAATCAAGGCTTCGTAAATGAGTCCGAAATCTTCGACATTCTACTGTTGATTCCGGCCGAGTTCTTGGTCCAGATGT